TTATTTAGGGTTGCTTGAGACTTTTGTGTATAATCTTTTATCACTATCTAACTGTATAAATCTATTTACAAGCTACCACATGGACAGCTGGATTTCAGAAATCTTTGTAGTATGAGAGTGGCTATAAATGTACTGTACGTGTGACTGAAAACTTTCTGAAAATGAGGGGTGGAAAGCACCTCCCTGCTATGTTTTCATTTTCCACCTCAAAGTAAGAAGCAGAAACAATGCCAGGATTGATCTATCTAAGCTTAGCTAGAATACTTTATTCACTTAAATCATGTATATGAACTAATCAAGAATCCACTTAGTTATCAGTAAAAAATACAGATGGTATAATGAGAAACACTATTTTTATTGGTTTGTTAGATTTACAACTTACGTTTCCTCCAGAAGCTCACAGCAACTTACATGGGGATTTCCCTACATTTTTATTCCCACGATCAGATAGGTTGGACTGGGGGAGAGTGACACTCAAAGTCACTGAATGATCTTCCATGGCTAAAGATGGACTTGAACTTGATTCTCCTTGGCCCTAGTTGAACACCTTAAAACAGGGTTTCTCAATCTTGGCACCTTTCAGATGGGTGGACTTCAACTCCCAGAATTCCCCAGCCAGCATGCTGGCTTAAACATTACACTAGATTATAGACATGAAACCTGAGAATTAAAGAACAATTTACTGGCTTTAGTCCCCAGATTTTAAAGATGTAAATATAAAGTGGCCACAACAGAAAAATAGTTTATACATAAATTATACTTGTTTTATCATGGTGTACTTAACATTTTTTGTTCATCAAAGTAAAGGCCAGATCTCTGTTAGGTTTTTCAAGCTCTGTTCAGCATGTAAGTGACTTGTCCCATTCTCATGATTCTCCCAAGCTATGATAATCATAAAAAAGGGCTCACATTTTGCTGAGTAACAACTGCGTGTCATGGTTCAAAGGAGCAAGTAACATACTCATCATAAATGCTCAATTCTGCATAAATTGATAAGAGGGAAAGCTTTTACAGCAGTATACCAAAAGTTGAATTCAGAAGAGTTCTTCATTTGCAACTGACACACTGTATATGTGATCTTACTAATTCATGATAGAAATACTCTCAGCTTTCTATGAATTGACCCCTTCCAAATAAGCTTTCCCCAGCTTAATGCTCTCCAGGCAGTGTTCCCCAATCTGGACTCAACAGTCTGAAAGACCATTAGATGGTAGCAACTTCTGGCAGCTCTTTGGTGCCATATAATGGCTGTCTGGATTTTTCAACCTAAATCTGCCAGCTCCGGGTCTAAGCGTACTGGATCTTCAACTCCCAGAATTCCTAGCTGGCTGTGCTGCTTGGAACTCTGGGATGGAATATTTGGAGGAGCACCAGATTGTGGGAAATCTTCTAAATGTTTCCCAGAAGCTCCCTCCTGGCTAATTGCTGCTACAGTGTAGGAGGTGGTAAATATAAAATATAACTGAGCCACTTGAGAATAGTTATTACAAATCAAGTCATGCTATTCCTACTTCCCTTTTTCTTCTTTTAAATCAACAGTATGTAGTCTTAGAAGATGGAATGGCAGTCTGTTAGAGGAAAATGCTTTGTGAAAAAGAAGCAAGAGTACATTTTCAGCTTAGAAGCAGAGACTTTGTTAAATAGCTGCCACTAACAATAATAGTAGCCAATGCTGTCAAATTTAGCTGCACAATATGTTGATCATTTACTGATGAAGGCAAAGTGACTACATACTATGACATGCAGGTAATGTGGGCTTTCATAAGGTAAACCTGAGAAAGTGATCGTATTTTGTGATAGAATTTGAAAGCCCACTCACTGGCAGTGAGTGTGCAGATATGCAGCTGAAACACCTTTGTGACTGCCTGAGTTGTATAACCATGCAATTAAAGCACTCTCTGCTGTAAATGTAACATGTTTTCATCACATTTTGTATTCAACATCATGTCAAAATTACATACATTTGTTGATAGTTGCTCTCTTTGTTTGTCTGAAAAAGGAGCTTCAATTTATTTTTAAAAAGTTATTTAGAGGAAATGTTCACTGATATACAGTGTGTGTGTGCGCGCATATAATTAATTTATATATGTAGAGAGAGAGAGAGCACCTAGATGTCTGTAGCCATACATAAAAGTCAGTGTGAAAAGCCAAAGCCGAAGACAGTGTAACAATTCAGTATTTAGAATGCAAGAGAAGAAAACTCTGCTATGGAAGCTTTTTATAAAGCACACAACTGGAATAATTGTTATTTCATTTTGCAGCATCTTAGTTTCAATAAGGATTGATTTTATATAGGACAATATTTCATGGGCTTAGTGCAATAGCATTGAGGAAGAAAGGATGGAAAAATAGGGGGGAAAGATGACAGTCCAATACTCTAAAACAAGAAAGAATCATGAAATAGTAGGTCTCTGTAGCAATCCAGATTTGAAATATGAAAGGTAATTTGGAGTGTCTGTGGGCGCATATATTGCACCAGTTGGCACCTCCTTATATCAAATGCAATTTTTACCAAATCATGAGGCCACTGCTATGTAATTCCAAGACAACATTTCATTTCTTTAAGGAATTGCTGACAAGTGCAGTGTGCATGTTGATGCACTCTTCAGTTGAGTACTGACTCAAATATGATTTAGAATAGAATAGATTCCTATTCTAGTGGAAACAACCAGCTAGAGTAGGAACTATAGGCTGGCTACACCATAATCTTCTGAAGGTGAGAATCATAAAGTGATGATTCTGTAGAAATGCTCCATTATCTCATGAAAATGGGGAAGAGAGGCTTTTAAGCATTTCATTCAAGATTCCAAACCACTGCAGCCTGACCTTGCCAGGACCTGTTACAAGTTTTAAGAGGACTTCCTGAAACGATGTGAGTTGCCAACCTGATGGAGTGGGGATTTATTTGTTTGCTCGTTTAATCTAAGGCACTTATCATCCTTTCCCATTTTTATCTCAGGGAATGAGGTTTACAATGCAGCTAAAACAAAAACTGTCAGCTCAATTCAAACCATATTTAAATATGAACTAAGTGGCAAAGTTTAACATATAACAATAATAAAATTGAACCCATTAAAACATGTGAGAAAATAATAACAATAATTGTATTATTCTTTAATATCCATAAGGGATAGATATAGTAATATATTCTGTTTCAAAGTTCCTGGGTGTTAAAGGGCTTCAGGGTTAAAACTTTAAATTGAAAAAGTGGACCAGTAATTAGTGGGGTTGTGAATCATTCAGATCTGACTTCAAACAGTTGATTCACTGAGTTGACTCAATTTGAATTCTTGAGTGGACAAGTTGAGTTGATTTGAGTTATCAAATCCATTCACTAAAAAGCGTGTATGGTCATGCAGAAAAGTCCGTTAGATTGTCAAATTCACATTAATTCAGTGGGTGGTTTAATCAAATCCATGGAACTTAAAAAAAAACAAAACTGCATAGCCTTTGTGAAAGGTGCAGTTTCTTGACTCAGATTACATACAGAATGCATATATTTGGAAAACTTGTCTACAGAAAGTATGCATTTGGGAAAGATTTATAGGAAACAAGGGTGTATTTAGAAAAGCTTTATACAAACAAGCATGCATTAGGACAGTCTTCCCCAACCTGTAGACGTTTCGGACTTGGTTGTGGGAATTGAAATCTATTGCATTTGCAAGACTCCAGATTGAGGAAGGCTGTGTTAGGAAAAGTTATATCCATATATGCACTCATTAAGTCAATATGCATACATGTGCATATGTTAAGGAAAAATATGTGCACAAGTACAGATGCTGAAGTTAAATGACGATAATTGCTTTTTAAAAAAATGTTTCTCAGAGCAATTTGTAGAATGCACTAATACTTGAAGGTCTGCCATTCTGATATAGATAAGATTTTTCTCCTTATCTGCTGTTTGTGAGGTCTAGGCCTTTTGTTACCTGGCAAATGTCAAGCCCTTTATATGAGCACTGCCAGATTATGTGATCATAGTAAATATAGCTGGGAGGAAATGAAAAACTTTTTCATTGCCATAGTCTAATACCAGGAAATAGCTTTTGAAAAATTTTGCCAAAGTTTAATGTCTGTTAAATATAATAATGATGGCTTTGGAAAGCTTATCTAAATGTGTTGGCTTGGTTTAGATTAAACAAGTTAAATACCAAGAAATTGAACACTAGATATTTTATCATTTGGTAAGTATTTGCTGCAGAAAGAAGATATATGTGTGTGTGTTTGCGCATATACATACTACTGAAAATATACCAGCATGGGATCCTGGTGTGCAGGTAGCAACCACAGTTGGGACCAGCAACTTGGTCGTTAAGCGACTGTGCTTATGATCTTACTTCAGCTTTCCTTTGCTGAAGTAAGACAGACCTGCAAAGGTCGTAAATGCAAGGATTGGTTGCAAAGTTACTTTTTGTCACCATCACAACTGCAAACTATCACTGTCCAAAGCAGTCACTAAACTAGGACTACCTGTATTGAGAATGACTCCAGTGAATGGTTGCCATTGCAGACAAAGCCTGTCTCAGTGTCATTCTCTTATTTTGATTTGCTTCCCCCAGGAGCCAGCAGTCTTACTGATCACAAAAGGATGACTATTTCAGTTCCAGAGCAACCTCAGAAAGTATAAGATTGCTAAAATCACTGTAATAAAATTACTCAGATGTTTAACTGCTTGAAAGCAATCACTTGATGGCCAAGGACCGCACTCCATATTGGATGGAGTGAGGGTCACAGTGAGTAGAGGTCAAATCACACATGTGAGTGGAACTACTTTACAATGTTCATATTTCTTAATGTCAAAATGGCAGAATATTGCTGTCACTTTTCATCAGTCATGGTAATTGTGGCTTCTCAGGGGCACAGTCAGGGGCTTAAAAGGCACCCGTAGCCCTGGCTCACAGGTTGCCCATCCCTGCCTTACGATGTGGCAGAGACCATACGATGCTGCTGCCTGAAATATTTATGAATTTAAGTTTTTTTAAATTGCATATTTATTTTGGAAGCCCAACATAGGACAACTTGGTATTCCTCATGGACCTTCAGGGGAGAAGGTGGCCGTAGTAACGGTGGATGACTGTGATACTGCAGTGGCTGTACGCTTTGGAAATCTAATTGGAAACTACTCCTGTGCTGCTCAGGGAACACAGACCGGCTCCAAAAAGTAAGACGGTGTTTTTTTAATTACATGTATAGGTTTTAATGGTAGGATTAATCTGGCTAGCAGAGGCTTCACTACTTTTTTAGATGTGCTTGGAATCAGTCGTTGCCTGATGTAAAGTCATTTTCATATCTCATTGCATTAAATTAGACTTTAGGTCTGTGCATTAAGGGCTAAATTGTTGAGTTCAGAGAATAAGCAAGAGAAGGATAATCATGTAGAAATGTTTGCTAAATTGCCCCTCCTTGTGGTAAGTTAGCTATTGCTGCAGATGTTTCTGTTTCTCAATAGTTTTGTAGGATAGAAAAAGTCAAAATGAAGAAGAAAAGTAAACAGAGCCTACTGTTCACACTTCCATTCAAAAATGTTCACTTAGATGAGGAAGGGGGAAGTGTCAAGGTGAAGGAAAGACAAATGGAGGAGGAAACACATTTGATTGATTTTCCTCAGTGGTCTTTAATCACACTGAACTGAGGATCTAAAATCCTCAGTCCTGGGAGTTGCATTAGAATAAATTGATACACTTCAGTTAATTGGAAAAGATACTTGAAAATACATGTGTCATTGAATGTGCTTTTAATGAATTAATCCTGCTTGGAATATTTTCAAGTTAGGTTTTGAATAGCTTTCTCAGGTTAAATCTATATTTACAAGCCAATGTAACTTTGAATAAGTGCAGCTCTTGAAGATGTAAAAGTTTTTGTTTGTTTGGAAAGGCAAAGGAATGTATGATGAAACCATTAGGATGATATTTAGATGTTTTAGTTAATATTCCTTTGTAATCATAAAATGTATTGGGAAACATCATCTCTCTGAATATTTATGTTACAGAGGATTGCTATAAATGTTATCTATCAAGTTTCTCCTTCAGTAACAACCTGATAAATAAGAATTACAATACTTTGTAACTGTAATACTAGAAGTGTAGAATATGTTTCTTATCATTTGTGGCAAAAACCTTCATTGCTTTAAAAAAAGAAAAAAACATTAAAGATAGTTGATCATAAGTAACATTTACACCATTTTTACTTGGAGGTATATTAGGATTTGAGAAACAATACAATCCATTACAGGTAGTCCTCAGTTACTGATCACAGTTGGGACTGGCACTTCCGTCACTAAGCAAAAAAATCATGTGACAGTGCCAGACTTACGTCACTTTCACTTCTGTCGTTAAGCGAATCACCCACGGTCATTAAGCTAAGTCACATCTTAATTAATTTATTAAGCTAAGGTTGTTAAGGTTGTCACATCATGTGACCATGACTTGTAATTTTACTGCTGGCTTCTCCACTGACCCTGCTTGTCAGAAGCTGGCAGTGAAGTGCACAAATGGCGATCACATGACTCCGGGATGCTGCAGTGGCCATAAATGCAAGGATTGGTTGCAAAGCTGCTTTTTTTCAACCGTCGTAACTTCAAACGCTTGCTAAACAAGGTAATTGGTAAATAAGGACTACCTGTATTATTTTGTTTCAATGCCATGACAGAATCTGTAATAGCAGCAAGGAATTACCTCCGGTTCTAATTCCCAATAGTATGGTTATTGTGCAAGAGACAGTACATTATATATTGAATCAAATAACACTTCATTTCTGATTTCTTTAGGTCATTAGATTTAACTGGCCCTCTGCTTCTTGGAGGAGTTCCCAATTTGCCTGAAGATTTTCCTGTGCATAACAGGCAGTTTGTTGGTTGTATGAGGAATCTCTCCATTGACAGCAAGCCCATTGATATGGCCAGTTACATCGCCAATAATGGCACTCTTGCAGGTATAACCTTCACAAAAATGAAAGTGGAATAAAAACTATTTTGGATTTTCTGAAAATTATATACACAAGGAACTGTGTTTTCATAGGAAAATATAAAAATATGGAAATAGAGATGTATTCATGGGCTAATTTTTCAAATTCACTAACTACTTTGTGCATACAGATAGTCCTTTAGAGGTTTAGCGACCACAACTGGGACTGTTAACTTGGCTGTTAAGTGAAGCAGTTGCTAAGTGAAACAGCAACTATGCTTATGATCTTATTTAAGCTTTCCTTTCCTTTACAGACCATGAAAGTCATAAATGCGAGGATTGGTCATAAAGTTATTTTTTCATCATCGTCATAACTGAATGGTTGCTAAATGAGCCAGTTGCTAAACAAGCATTACCTGTATAGAGAATATATTTCTGCAGATATATTTAAGATGACATCCTCGGAAACTGCTTCTGCACAGATGTTATTCTGAAGCAATACTTGGTAGCCTAAGTCCCTGATACATGTACTAACCACATAATAACCTTCTTTCTCTAAGGGCAAATGAAAACAGTTGAGTTTCAAAGTCTTCAGCATTTGTTATAATATCAGTCCTCTAGTTATCCATATCTCCCCTTCACAAAAGAGAAATGTTCAGCTAAGGTCTTTATATTGTGATATCACAATATAAAGTATGATAAAGCATTGTGAACTACTTTCTAGAAAATGCAATTGCAGCTGTTCAGAACCATAACAGTGAGCTAAACCACAGCTTGTTACAACATGAATGCATGATTACTGAATGACTTGAGGACAAAACCTTTTTTGAATTGCAGGTTGCTTAGCTCAGAAGAATTATTGCACCACAAACTGGTGTCAGAATGGTGGTACCTGTGTGAACAGATGGAATACTTACACTTGTGATTGCCCCCTGCGATATGGGGGGAAAAACTGTGAGCAAGGTAAACAGTGGATCCTGTTTTCTATTAAGTATGTGAAATATTCCATAATGTGTGAGCAAATTTTAATTATTAGAGAACAGCCTTTTTTTAATTATGGGTGGCTAAATGCATTATAAACCCCCTCTTCACCCCCTTAAAACAGGTATTATCAAGAATCTAACAATCTACAGCAGTGTTTCTCAATCTTGCTAAGTTTGAGAAACACTGGTCTACAGCAACCTTTGCCAGTATAGTGCACCAAATATATTGGGACTATAATTCCCAGTATATACACCAATTATTTTCATGTTGGTTGGGAACTCTGGGAGATACTATTAAAGCATATCTGGAGGGTATTAGGTTGGGAAAGTTTGGTTCATAAAATCTCTGGATAGCAAGCCATGCCCATTATGATGTACCATATTCTTCATCTCCACTGTAGAGGCAATTCATTCCAAACACAGAAAATCAATTTTCAATCTTCTTTAAGCAAAAATGCTCCAGTTTAAGATGATCTGGTCCCATTTAGTTCAATCAAATAATAGCATTAGTTAATAATACTGACTTATTTAAGTTCAGCCTGTTGTTCAATAATCACTAGGACAAGAAATCAGCCCAGACATAAAAGAATTCATTAAAATAATGACTTTCTTTAGTCACCTGGGTATCCTAATAGAGAACATCTTCATTAAATACTCTTCATTGCGATTCTTAGGTTCCCATTTGGCAGCTTCAGTCTTCAGGGAATTGTTTTTTCATTTGTTCCTTAGCTGGGGAATTTGTATTCTGCACCCTAACCCAACTGGGAATACTTCCTAGATAATGCAACCAACATTCTTGTGCTGCAGGGGCAAATCAGTAATAACAATAAGAACAACCTGTAAAACCTTTTTACAGTGAGAATACCAGCTTTCCATCAGTCTTTCTGAGTTGTCTTTGCCTCCAAATGGGCTTCAGAAGCAGTGGTTTTTAAGTATTACGTTGTACTTCTGCAAACTGTATCTCCCTTTACATGGATGGTGACTTTTGGGTGCTATAAGGAACAGTACTCTGGGAATTTGAGCTATCTATAATTTACTAAGTGCATTTAAGAATATGAGTGTGAGTGCTTTATGATTCCAAGAAAATGTGAAAATCAGATTGAACTGACTTTCAGAAAAAGTTTGGAAAACGTTTCTCTCAATATTGCTAATTTGCTGAGGAAACCCTTAATAAGTTTCCAAAGAATTATTACTGTGAACAGTATATATGTTCTGCCTTCATTTCTGTTACTGTAATCAAAATGGTGTACTATGTTTAGAAGATTGAGTGTTTTTCTGTGCTTTTCCTTCAGCTGATGAAAAATTATTTTTAATTATTAAGCCATAGGTTTCTTCTTATTAAGACTACTTGTAATAAACTTTGACAGCATGTTAATCTCTAATCATGATTCAAATCAGAACCTACGTGATGCATATTGCAAGTTCCTGTTCCCATTTTTGCTAGAAATTCAGCTAAACAGACTTATAATGCAGTCCTTCTGTATAGCATAACTGCTTTTCTGCATAAAAAGTTTGTAGTTTGGTCTAGTGGTTAAGGCACCAGGCTAGAAACCAGGAGACTCTGTTCTAGTCCTGCCTTAGACATGAAAGCCAGTCACTCTCTCTCAGCCTAACCCACCTCACAGGGTTGTTGTTGTGGGGAAAATAGGAAGCGGAAGGAGTATTAGGTATGTTTGCTGCCTTGACTTATTTATAAAAATAATAAAGGCGGGATTAAAAAATAAAAAAAAATCCACTTTCAAAAATCAATTAATTCATGTTATTGTCAGGTGCAAGTAAGTAAATAAGTAAGATCAATTTCTTATTTCTTGTAAGATAGATATGTGGGGCAGAATGAGCATAAAGGGAAATAAGTAATGTCAGTAAGGGAGAATTTTTAGCAGTTACAACGAAATTGAGCCAGAAGTCAAAGCACTGAGAACAATTGCACATTAGGGAACAAAATGTATTCATATGATCAGAGTGCTTTCTGCCTGGGGTGTAGATGACACAGCAGCCACAAATTTGGGCTTGCCAGATCTTTGATAAAAGTGTAGTTTTGCTGGCCCCAGGGGCTGTAAAAATAACATTGTCAAATTCTTAGTAGACATTAATAATAAATAAGATGCTCCCTTGCTATAGCCAGAGCCTAGAATTTGTCAGAACCACATTCCTACATAAAATTTTAAACATTTTACTGGATTTTGTTACCTTTTATAAAGGGATCATTAAACTCAATGCATTTTTATAACTACAGCTGAGAATAACACGCTTGCTATTCAATATATAGCATTGCTCCAATGAGCAGAAGCTTTACAGGTGAGCTGTACATAGTTAATATTACCTTCCAATTAGTGAAATGTATAAATTCACATGCTTCTTATTAATATTTGTATAGCATAAATAACAGTGTAGGTATTGCCAAACAGAGAATGGTTCCTGCTCCAGAGGCCTTCACCTTCTCTGGGCTGGATGTGGGCAATTGGGTGTTCTCTAGATATTTTGGACAACAGAATCTATAATCCTTTACCCTAGCCATGTTCCCTGGGGCTGGTGGAGGTTGATGCCCAACACCCGGAGACGTTGTAGGAGGAGAGCCATGTTAGTCTATTGTGGCAAAAAGTCAGGAGTCTGGTAGCTCCTTTTCTGACTAACAAATCTTATTAAAAGGCATCACTTTATGCATCTGATGAAGTCTCTTAATGAAGATTGTTAGTCAGAAAAGGTGCTCCTGATTTTTCAATATCTAGAGGGTATCTTTTATTTTTTGCTGTTTCTTAATTCAACTGGGTAGCTTTTTCACTGATTTTTTTTGGGCTTTGGCTACAAAATCAATAGGCCGGGGATTTTGCAGAAGAAATATACATATATACATATAAAGACTATTTTGCTATCTAGTAACATCTTAAGATACAGTCACTACTTATCTATGCTTCTTGGCTATATGGGGATTTAAAAAATGTTAAAATTAAAGTATAACTGTGGGAACACTGAAATCTATCCAGTAACGAGCATATTTTTGTTTACTACTGTGTAGAAGGTATCTCCTGGGTCAGAAACGGGCAAAAAGTTGATTGGGATCCACAGGCAAATCTCTGAGGGATTTGCGAGATTTCACATTGTCAGTTGTTTAATAATAGCAATTAGAAAAAGTAACCCCAACCTAAAATTATACAGAAGAAATGAAGAAAGCTTGAGATAAATAGGAGTGGATATTTCTCTGGAAAGACTATAGATTTTATTCTGGACAGAGAATCCTTTTATTTTTCTGGTATCCAGTTTTTGCACTAGACGTTTGGGGTTCTAATAAAAAAGAACGTGGGTCCCACAGGCTGAAAGTCTGCCTAACCTTATGCTTACTGATACCATGCAGTATGTATGTATGTATGTATGTATGTATGTATGTATGTATGTATGTATGTATGTATTGTATAATTAAGGGTGCTCTGAGGATTTTCTCCTCATTCCAGAGTTTTTGATTAAGTGATCCTGCTTTGCCTTCTCTTTGTCTTGCGTTACAGCAATGCCCTTTCCTCAGCGTTTCACTGGGGAAAGCATCATCACCTGGAATAACCTCGATATCACTATCTCTATCCCGTGGTACATTGGCCTCATGTTCAGAACTCGGAAGGCTAATGGTGTGTTAATGCAGGCCAGTGCAGGGGTATCATCTAAGATTAATATACAGGTATGTTAGCTTATAAATCTAATAACAACAACAACCAGAGAATGCCATTGGATAAGAAAGGGCAAACAGTAAAATTAAGTGTCTTTGCTTAGCCGTGAAGACAACTCAGCAGTACAATCTTATGCTTATTTCATTTACAACAGGCTCTGGGTTCTAGTGAAAAGCAAAGCAGATTGAGCAAACCTGAAGTTACCCATCCCTGGAGTTGCAGAATATCACAGAACTGTCAGAGTTCACTCAGCCTATAGTCAGAGCAGTCTTTAGGGAGTGAGAGGAGCAAAATTATTAGCTATTCATTTCCCCTTGTTTGTTTCAGCAGAAGGAAAAATACCTTTGCCAAATTGAGACAGTTCTAAATATTAATTAATACATATAGATCTAAACAGTGAGCAATCTTTAATTGAGAGTTGCCACTCATAGTAGACCTAATTTTGAATATAAATAGGCAGAATATTGGTATAAATACAAATTATCCACTGAAGAATAAATAGTAAAGTTGCCTTAAAATATAATATTTATTTCGTAACCATGTTCCAAGAATTGTATGTATAATTATATATATATATATATACACACACACACACACACACACACACATACATACATATAAATAAATAAATAAGTTTTTTTCCAACAATTCAGTTTTTTTTTCAGCAACTAAAGTTATGTTTCAACAGATACTGAATAAATATGTGGTATTTGAAGTTTATGATGGGCCGAATCAGGTGGCCAGTTTGAGGATGACCCAGGCTCGAATCAATGATGGTGAATGGCATCATTTGCTAATAGAGTTGAAGAGTGCAAAAGATGGCAAAGACATCAAGTACTTGGCAGTTGTGTCCTTGGATTATGGCATGTATCAGGTAAGATGACATCCATAATCTTCCATCATAAAAGAAAGACAGAAATGGCCTGTTAAGGAATAGATGACAGCATGAGCTATGCCAAAATGAAGTTATTTCTACCAATAGAAGAGAATATATGTAGCTTAGGGTTGAACTTAGGGTTGTCACAACCAAGCGCAGAGAACCCCAAGGACTCCGAAGTTATTTCTCATTGCATCTATCATGGATTCAGAAATATATTTTTCTTTAACAATCTACCAGCTATTCTTAACCCAGTGTCATCCAGTACTGTATGCTGAACTCAAGTACATCTGCAGCTGGTGAAAATCCTGGAGGAAACGGATTATCTAGTCCTGTTTCAGTCAGGTTTCAGACCAGAATTTAGTACTGAGAAAGCTTTGGTTGTGCTTGTAGATTACCTGTGGCAGAGCCAGGATAGCTGATGGTGAATCCATCCTTGTGCTCCTTGAACTTTCAGCAGCTTTGATACTAATAATCACATTATCCTTCTGATCCAGCTCCATGGGCTGGGGATTGGGGCACCATTTTATAGTGGTTCTTTTTCTTTCTCTGGGGGCAGTTTCACCTGGTGTTGGTAGGGGGGCCAGAGATAGCTTCATAGGCACTCCTTTGTGGGGTGCCACAGGCTTCTGTTCTCTCTCCCCTCCTTTTCAGCATCTACATAAAAGCACTGGGTGAGGTCATCTACTGGTTTGGGGTTCCATATCATCAGTATAAGATGATACCAAATTATGTCTTTCAACTGTAGGCCAGCCAAGTGAAGCTGTCAAGGTTCTGTCCCAGTGCTGGAGCTGTGAGGGTTTGGATGGGAAAGAATTGTCTCTGACTCGTTTCTACCAAGACTGAATAGCTGTGAATGTCCGGGCCCGCCTAGATCTTGGGGTATTCCATCTTTAACATTGGATGGGGTTGCACTTCCCATTCAAGAGTGGCGTGCAGACTGGGTGTCTTCTTGGACAAACAGGATGCAGCGGCATGGGCAGTGATGGGAATTCCTCAGAAGGCCCATTTAACAGTTCTCCTTTGCAAACTGCATTGATTGCCAGTTTGCTTCTGGGTGTGATTCAAGGGGCTGGTTGCCACCTATAAAGCCCTACATGGCATAGGGCCTGGTTACTTGAGGGACCACCTGTTTCCAATAGTATCTGTCCAGCTGATTTAATCTGGCAGGGTTGGTGTGCTCTGGGTTCCTACGATTAAACAACGCCATCTGTCGGGATCCCAGAAGTGTGCCTTCTCTATAGTAGTGCCTACTCTCTGCAATGAGGTTCCCCCCAAGATCTGGATACCCCCTCCTGCTGGTGTTTCAAAAGGGCTTGAAGACATGGCCCAGGCCTGTGGGGAAGGTTAGTGAAGCCCCCTTTGGGTTGTGTAGGTCCATTTCTTTTTTGTTCTTGCCCAGTTTTTGTCATCTTTGCCAATTTTTTTTTTTTTATTCCTTTACTCTGTCTATTACTGTATTCTTTTTTTCTTGTTTTTTACTTGTGAATTGCCCAGAGTTGTTGGGAGTCAGGCGGCATACAAATTTAATTAATTAAATAAATTAATCTTCAGTCCATCAAACCTGGATAGCACCAGAACAGGGAAAACTGAACAACGTGGGCAACATAATTCTATCAAGATGGATTTCATGACTTCTAAAGCCCACATATTGTACACTGGATGCTATTGAAAGATTTAATTCTGTTTGACTTCTCCCTCTTGATGACAGAAGATTTATTCACTCATGGAGAATTAATTACCATTTCCATTTCTTTCTTGCAATTGTATTGAACAGGGGAAGTCATTATACCTTTTGGAAATGCTTCCTTATCGGAACCACAACATGATTAGCTTCTGTTACCACTTTCAGACTTATTCTTGCTTATGTTCTTTTTTAAATTATCAGTGAAATAACTAAGAATTTACAGAAAAGCTCCAGTCATCTTTCCTATCTTCCTCTTTTCAGAGTACTGTACAGATTGGAAATCAGTTACCTGGACTAAAAATGAAAAGCATTATTGTGGGAGGTGTCTCTGGAGATCTAGTCTCTGTGCAGCAGGGCTTCTATGGCTGTCTACAGGTGAAAACTGAAAATAAATAACTTTACAACATTAGCTATGAGAAGAATTCTTGTTTCCTCAAAAACAAGAGGAGGGGAAGAGCAGAAAGAAAATGAGCAGAATTCTGTTTAAAAGTGCTTAATTATGAGTTTACGTTCCTTTGATTTTAATTGAACTGATCCCGTTGGAATTGCATTCAGATGTTTTAATTGCTTGGGAATGTTATTCTGTAAAACATTCAGGAGAGGCTCATAGGCAAAATACACTGATGCAAGTGAAGCACCCTTTTTGAAATATTAAAGCAGCTTTGTCCTCTGGAAGACTCACGCAGCTGCTTCAAAAAGCACTCCCAGTGGTTTGCACATGCATGTGTAGTCACAGGCTATACCTGCTGGGGCTGCCCACAGAGCAGATGTGTGCATAGACAGACATGCAGCTGGTTTGGAAAAGCCTTCAAAGCAACTTTGTGAACCTTTCAAAAGATACAGCTTCTTTAGCATTTTGAGGAGAGTTGGCCTGTTCATGGTTTGTGAAAGATCTTTTTTTTTAATCCTTTGCCCAGCCCTACTGTTAACAACTGAGTTTTAAGAAATTAGGTTTTTGATCTAATAGCTCCCATTGACTGATCTGATTTTGGAAAATCAAAGGTCTCATTACAGTAATTATACTTTAACATGATGTCAGCCATGAATAAACCACAGTAGACAGTGGATGTGGCCTCTCCACACTTCCAGCATGGAAAGAGGAAGGGGGATACATTAATTTCAATGTAGGGTTCTGTTCAAACCCTAAACTGTAATTTAACAAAGATTTTATGAAAACTTCATAAGCTAGAGTTTGAAAAAAACAGAACAAAGCCTTAATCATTAACACCTGGGAATTGGAGTATTTCTATTTTTGATTCTGGTTGGGGTGGCTGTACACAGGGCTGCCCTTGAAAACCATCCAGAATGGTCTTCCATTCAGTTAGTCCAGAATGCAGTGGCACAGGTATATCTCATTATGCCCACATAACACTGCTTCTCCATGAGCTGCACTGGCTCCCAATAGGCTTCCGGGTGTGATTCAAGGTACTGGTGGTTACCTTTAAAGCCCTATATGTCATAAGACCAGATTTCTTGAGGGACCACCTTCTTCCAAGAACATCTGCACGCCCCACATGCTTCCACATGGAGTGCATGCTCCAGGTTCCCTCTTTTATAACTTGTCACTTTATGGGACCTAGGAAGTCTGCCTTTTCAGGGGGTGCCCCTGTGCTCTGGGACAATGTCTCTCCCCACACCCAAATATGACAGGCCCCAACTTTGCCCACCTTTTGGAAAGCCATTAAGTCCCAGTTTTTCCCCCAGGCATTTGGGGCCAGTTGAGTGGGAATCCCCTGTTGGTTGTTTTTATTATGGTGCTTGGTTGCCATTTTACAGACTTTGCTTCATATTTATATTTTGTGTATGTTTTAATGTTATGGGTGTTGGTTTATTGTTCATTTTTTGTTACATTACACCACCCAGAGTTACATTTTTTGAGTTGGGCAGCCTTATAAATCTAGCGCATAAAAAGAAAAATAAATGTGAAGCATAGATGTGCTTAAGTAAAAATGGAAGTGAAAGTTTGCTACCTCTTCTTGTTATTACATCAAAGAAGTGAGTGAAAATGTCCCTTTTTCTCCTATAGCAATACTACACCTTTTATTGTGATATATATTCGTTGGTTATTACTTTGGTCTCTTTTCCCCTTTTTCAGGGAGTGAGAATGGGGGAGACGTCTACAAATGTTGCTACATTGAACATGAAACAGGCAGTCAAGATTAACGTCAGGGATGGCTGTGAAGTAGACAATCCTTGTGATTCTAATCCTTGTCCCCATCACAGCTATTGTAGTGATGACTGGGACAGCTATTCATGTGTCTGTGATCCAGGTAATTACGGCTTGTAGCAAGTTGGTCATAATATCCAAGGCTCTGGACCTTATAGAACTGCATGCTTAAGAATGTTTTTCTAGAATTTGGCAGCTGAGCAGAAATTCCTGCCTATAATCTCATAATGGAAGTGATCATCTTGCACACACTTCTGAATGACACTCTGTAGCATTCTGCTATTCTTACTTTCTCAAGTTTTACCACTTTCACACTTTCATTCTTTTGGAGAAGGGAGGAAGAATGGTACAATTTCTATGAAAACCAAGCAAAAACTCCTGTTCAAAAATCTCTTATTTATATTTGTATTTGTTTTAATTTGGAGAATTTTGAATGTTTACTTCTTGCCACATAACAGAATGTTGGAAAGGAAAATAGATAATTTACATGCAACTGAATATGATCACAAGATTAAATATACAATTGAAATATAAAATGGAATTGTTATTTGCTTAAACTTCAAAAGTATTTTAATTTTTAAAAATATTTTAATCTCTGTTTTATATAATTCAGTTTTTTTCAGACTGAGTTTTTGTTTTGAGCCTTAAATTGCATAACTGACATGTCAAGCCTTATTTACTTAAAAAGTAAATCCCAATAATTATGTTTAATGTAAGGTTTACTTATAGGGCTGGTATATGTTTAGAATTATGATTACTATAGAGCTTATCTCCAAACCCTTGTGTCTGAGAACATAGCTTCTGAACAACTGCTGTTTGTGAGATACTTATTTTTGTTAGGCATATCATTAAGACCTTTTCTGAAAATTCAGAAATCAAGAAGCATATTTTAAATTAGTTCCTTTAATATCTTAAGCAACACAGTACTTCAGTTGCATCCATATGTGGCTATGAAATATTGGACCATCCCATATTTTATGTGGTTGCAGTCTTTCTAAACAGAAATAGCTTTCTAATGGCTATAGAAAAGTGTATTGATAATTCAAGAGGTGTTACTACTGTCCAGTTTTGTTTATTTCTGAGATAAACAAATCAGTTCTCACTTAGTTTTCTCTGTGTCTGTAACCTTGTCTCCTCAGGGTACTTTGGGACAGACTGTGTTGATGTTTGTAGCCTGAACCCATGTGAGCATGTCTCTACTTGTATCCGTAAACCAAGCTCTTCTCATGGATATACCTGTGAATGTGGACAAAGCTATTATGGACAGTACTGTGAAAGCAAGTAAGCAAAGGATATTGGCTAGTTCTTTTCCTTTCTCAATACTCTCTACACTCTCTCACATACAAGCACACCCGGAATCAAACCACTGTGTTCCAAACAGAATATGTTTTCAAGAGAAATTATATTTATTCATTTACTTTATATATTTCATTTATACCTTTTTAATGCACTTTTCATTGTGAAATCACCACATTGAGTTCAACTCCTGGTGACTTTGTGGATACTTCCATGTAATTTTCTTGACAACAATATGGAAGCAGCTTGCTCTTGTCTTCTGGGATGTATTTTTGACTTCCCAATCTAGGCTACAATCCTGGGATTTCCTGGTGGTTTCCCAGTCAAATACTAGCCAGATCTGACCCTACTCAGCTTGTTGAGATCAGTCATGGTTGGCTAGGTGCCATCACCAGATCTCTCTAAGAAAGAAATTATCTCCTGCAGAAGTCAGAGTACTTAACCTGAATTGTCTCTCTCTCTATAAATCCATTCTTTTGTTTTATATATAATATTTTATAAATTCATATATATGTGTGTGTGTGAATATACATATTTAGATTTCACATATATATGCATTTATAAAAGATAAGCATAAGAGGGAAAGGTATGCCTTATTATTTTCAGTGAAAGAGACTATCTTTTTCTTTATTGTCTTTACATAATTTTGAAATTCTTATGTCTTTCAACATTCCAATTTCTTTGTAGAATTGATCTACCTTGCCCCAGAGGCTGGTGGGGAAATCCTATTTGTGGGCCATGTAATTGTGAAATCAGTAAAGGATTTGATCCTGACTGCAATAAGACAGATGGGACATGTCGATGTAAGGTAAGGAATGGATCATTCTTTCCATCACACATCAGGCTGTTCAGGTAATTCAGGAATGAATAATTTTGATGATGATTAACTTAAATCTCCACACACCTTCAAAACTTCCAAGTTCCTTTTTATATTCTTGGTTTTAACAATTATGTTTCAAGAAGAAGTAAGGGTAGATTTGAGAGTTGTCCAAATGAGAATTATCGGTGTTTTATTTCCATGTTGTTACATTTTGAAACTTGAGAAAGATCGGCTGTTATGTCCAGTGTCTGTACATGGAAAATATATTTTAAGCATCATTTTCCTGGGGAAAAAAGTCCAAATTCCTGAGTTTTCCACAATCCTAAGTTCAAACCATTGTTTGTATTTCTGGTAGCCTTGATGAAAAAGCATTGACCGATGGGTCTTTATCTTTCCAGGTAAACTATTATCGACCACAGAACAGTGACTCCTGTTATCCATGTGATTGTTTCCCTTCTGGTTCCCATACTCGCACTTGTGACATGGAAACTGGACAGTGTCCCTGTAAATCAGGAGTGATTGGACGACAATGCAATCGCTGTGATAATCCCTTTGCTGAAGTTACCCTACATGGCTGTGAAGGTATTTTCTTGTTGGTTTGCCATTTGCTATGTTTAGAAATTTGTCCCCTATTTTGAATTGTGTTGACTGCCATAGATGTGAATAAAAACTAGATATAGCCCTTTACTTATATCTATTTTATTATCATCTACCAATGAAGAAGAATTTGAAATTGAGGATTAAATTGTTTCATGGATTTGGCCATTTCTGGAGCCTCCAGAAAATAAGATTGGAGGGTACAAATGTTCTTCCTGGCATAAAAATAGGGAGAGAATCATTGTGTTTTCTAGAAACCAGCAGCTGTTTGTTGTACCCTGCTTTGCTCTGTCTTTCTTGCTGTGCCATGGGAACAAATACAATTGTATGGAGAGGATCCAAACCCAGCTACACTGGTACATAGATTGAGAGTTAATTAATCAGTTGAGAGTGAAAAAGATGAACTCTGAGCAGTGAACTTGTAATCTTTGTTCTGTTCTGTACATGATCTACAGCTTTTCATATATAAAAGCTTCTGTATATCATATATTTCTTCTAATATTGGATCCCCTTGAATACTCCCTGCCACTTGCCCCCCACAACACTTCTGTGCTTGGTTTTCAAAATATCCAAAGAACAGAGACCTCTCTCATAGTTTTTATATTTAAAGGATTTAAGCATAAGACCAGTGAACCTGAAGAATTTTCCATATCCATATATGACTATCCTTGTATTAGCATATTCTGTCCAGAGTTTTCTATGGATGAGGTGGGTAGCTGCTAGAAAGACACCCTTCTAATTAGGGAAGCCTCATTATGAAATACCCTTCCTTGACAGGTTGAAAAATTTGTTGTATTTCCAGCGCCAACAAGACATTATTTTAGGTAACATTTAGAATTAGTGTTAGCCCTACTGAGTGTTTTACTTATCACTTAATACAGTGCAGCTTTTTTTTTAGTTTTTTACTTTCCTTAGAAATATTACTGAAGGATAGCTGATTCAGGAGCTGGTTCTGAAGCCAATTTTTTTTCCACTTGAGAAGAGCAGGCCAAGATATATCTGTTTTGCCAAGCTTTTAATTTTACATTTTTGTTTTAATGTGAGGTTTAAATTTCGGTCTTTGTATTTTAATCATTGTTAGCTATCTTCAATTCTCAGTGGAGCAGGAAGGTAAAAGATAAATCAAATAAATAAAAAAGGAGTTAAACAACATTTCAGAATAAATATAGGCTGACTATCCTTGAGAGATTTGCTTTTATTAAATACTATCATGGCAAACCCAGTTTAAGCAGTGTATTACAATAAGTTGTAGATAACGGTGATCATTGTTGTACCCCACCCGGAGTCATTCTGTGTGAGATGAGCGGTTATATAAATGTGATAGATAGATAGATAGATAGATAGATAGATAGATAGATAGATAGATAGATAGATAGATAGATAGTTTTCTATTGGAACCCTTGCAGAAAAGAAATGTTTGTTGTTTTATTCTTTATTTCTTTTCCAATCTGTTGAATCAAATGGTGTTACTAGTTTAAGATTATGCACATTTTTATTTTGTCTGATTTTCTCAGTTAAAATGAAAAGCTAATGATTAAAAGTTCAGATATGAATAATATCCTGTCCAGCATAAAAATAGCACTCTGTTCTGACGTTCTGTTCTAGTCTAATGATTATTCTCATTTCTTCTTTCTGCTGTTGCTTTACATTGTTGACCTCCCTCCCTCTCTCTCTCTCAATATGTATAACTTTCCCTTCAATCTCATGTAGTGGTTTACAATGGATGTCCCAAAGCATTTGAGGCTGGCATTTGGTGGCCACAAACCAAATTTGGACAACCTGCTGCTGTTCCCTGTCCTAAGGGATCAGTGGGTAAGTAACAGTTATTATATATATATATAAAGTGTTGGTTAGGTTAGGTGTTGGGAAAAATAGAGATTCAAAAAGGTCGGTTGACATATAGAAGAGAGTTTGCCATCAGAACCTGAAGATGGAAGTCTGTTTCATAGATGGAGAACTTGTTAAGAACATACTAAAAATCTCATTTAGATAAAACAATCAAAATATAAATTGTATAGTTGGAATATAGGAGTGAGGAGAAAACAAAAATTTAAAAAACATAATCAGAATCTTCTCTTACTTTTATTCTGCAGTATAATAAACATGTTTTATAGTGATTGATATATAAATATATATACACACATACACACAGAGTACTGTGCAAAAGTTTTAGGCAGGTGTGAAAAAATGCTGTAAAGTAAGAATGCTTTCAGAAATATATATGGTAATTGTTTATGTTTATCAATTTACAAAATGCAAAGTGAGCGAATAGAAGAGAAATCCAAATCAAATCAATATTTGGTGTGACCACCCTTTGCCTTCAAAACAGCATCCATTCTAGGTACACTTGCACACAGTTTTTGAAGGAACTCGGCATGTAGGGTGTTCCAAACATCTTGGAGAAC